ATCTCTCTCCAGGCCTTCCGAAAAGCCGTTAAAACCTGGCTGTGCCGGCAGGCCTGGGGGTGATGAGTTCCCCTCCGCTCTCGACTGGTATGGCTGTATGATTTTCGTGTATTTTAATTATGTGTACTGTTGTTTATGTCCCCTTTCCCCCCCCTGAGTTGTTCGCTGCCCTGAGTCCCACCTGGAGAAGGGCGGCATACAAATAAACCAAATACAAATACAAAATACAAATTTTCAGTGCCGTTGTAACTTTGGTCGCTAAACAAACGGTTGTAAGTCAAGGTTGAATAGCTGCATTAGCTCGATAGAAGCCCCCAAAGAAAGACGAGCCCCTTTATAGGAGGGGGACTCCTTGGGCTCATGGCAGGCTTTTCAAATATGCATCCATGTTGCATCCTGGGTAAAACAGGATTTTGACCAAGAAAAACCCCAGGAGCCGAACCACACGGAGGCTTCTGGAAATCTCTCGGGTTTTCGTGCTGGGGAGAAAAAAAACTAGCAGTTGTTCAAGGATCATTCAGCCTTCTGTGTCTTTTTAACGATCCCTGAGGGATGCACGCTGCCCTCCTCTGCAACAGGGAAGAACTGCCACACTATAAAATAGGGATGGGGGGAAAAATACTGTTGTGGGGACCAATTGCGGGGAGCCAAATTTTTGTTGAGAAAGAAAAGGAAGAGACAACAGCGGAGCAGCTTGCCAATAAACTCCCCCATGAATAGCCTGGAGAAGCCGCCTTGCTTCCTTCTGGGAAACATTTCCCTTTGGCTGCTAAATCGCTCCCTACAATTTATGTAGCACACACACCTGTGACAGTGACACCACACTGTTGTCCTCATTGATTGCTTCATCCACAATTAACCGATTGGGCCGGTTCTTCTGCTTCAGAATTGCAGTTGATAAGTCATCAGCTTTGGAACTGTAATCAGAGAAAGGAGTTGCTGGTAGCTTTGGAAACAGAACCACGCCCCATTCTGACTTTTTTTCCCCCCCACCCACCGGCCTTCTTTGAAAAAACCAGCATGTCACGTGCCCCATAATGCAACCCAAAGACTAAAAGTATTTTAAAAGGTTCCTCAATTGTGTTTCTGCTAAGCAGTTATTGATCAGAAGAGTCCACGAATCACTGACTACAGTACTTAAAAGAGATCTGAGATATGCACTGCAAAAATGACTAGCAATTTTGCTCCACGAAAATAAAATGTTTGTAGCTGCCTTTTCGCGGTGAATTTTTATTTGATTCTCAATATGGGGATTTCTGGCCAATTTCAAACAAGGACAGAACTTTTTCTTTACACCTCTCGCTGCACGGAAGTCGGAAGAAAGAAGTGACCTCATTAGAAGAAACCGTTTCTAGAATTCCCCAAAGGCCCTTCAGGTCCCCTCCTGCCTCTCCTAGCTTGCCTTTCGCTCAGGGATCACCAGGCCAAGGAAGGAGAGTTTCATTTATCCACCTTGGCACTTTTCAAACTCCTTAAAGGGTGTGACTAATAAAGAGCCTAACCTTTGCTCTGGAAGTGAAAGTGCAACCAACTCTTCTGGTGTGCAAGGCTCCCTAGCAAGTCAACTCCTGAGCGTGAGTCTGCATACAGCTACCACCTTTGCTCTCACAAAAGGAGACACTTCTCCCCACTGCAGACACAAAAGCTCCCCGAAACCACGTGAGGCTGACACCTTGGGGAGGATGGGCCTTCCTCTGGCACATGCCCCATCAAGCACCACTCCACCTGCATTTCCCAAAGGTGCTTTTTAGACTTTGAAAATGTTTCACTTCTTATCCTAGAAGCTTTTTGGATGAAAAGTGAAACGTCTTCAAAGACAATCCAGAAAGTCCAATGGCCTCTTGAAAAAGCGCTTTGGGAACCACCAGGACTTGGATGGCAGAGAATCTCCACAGACATTTACTCCACCTGCAGACTCCGGGATGCCGAACTCCAAACAGCTTCTGTGAAGTCCCCTTTGACCATCCCAGGAAGGTTAAAGACTACAGACCCAGGCGAGCTGGAGCCCAGCAGGAAGGTCCCAAGAGAAGTGCAGCCCCTCCCTCACCAGCTGCTCCAGGGAGATTAGGTGGGGGAGTGGGGGCGTTTCCTAAAAGGCTCTCTTGCAACTCTTCCATTGCCACAAAACAGAAGTGCTGAGGACAGAATTGCCCCAATTCGGCCAGCTGAGCCAAACGAGGGAGCTTAGAGCCACATGGATGAGATGTTGACTGCATCAAAACATCAGCCAAATTGAGGCAATAAAAGGGAAATAAAGCCGATGCAGGAAGGGCACCCTGAGAATCGATACGGACTGACCCAGAGGCCACTTTCCTTTCCCAACGATCCTTTCGGGGCTTCTGGCAAGCAAGAGAGAAGCTGCTCCCTGGTTCCAGCCCTGATGACAGCAGCATTAAGCGGCCAGGTCAGAGGCATTTGTTGACCTGAAGCTGCTCAGAAAGCTTCCCTTGGAGCCCCCAGGGCACCTGAAGGGAAGGCAGAAGCCCAGGGGGCAGCAAACGCCCGATTCAAGAAGGCATCTGCCCTTCTTTCTGGGCTAACACGGTACGAAAGCTGCCTCCTGGAGCTGGGCTTTTCTCCAAGGCAGGTGAAGCTGATACAGGCAGAGTCTTTGGGCTGCCTGCTGACTACTAAATCATGGCCAGAAACCACTTTTGTGCATTTATGCTGAGGCTCTGAGAACATAAACCTCAGGTTATGAGTGAAGAGCTCCCTTTTTTCCAAGGATGAGCCACCCACCCACCCTCCAGAATGATGTTAGATACCTGCTGATAGCTACCTTCCTCCTCCGAGATCCTTGGTGCTCTTTCAGACGAACCTTGAGCTACCCTCTCCCATCCATATCTGCCCTCCCTAATTTCAAGTTATTCCATTTTGAAAGAGTAATGGAACTTGTTGAGCAGGCTCTGACTTCTTATGTGATGCCAATCTGCCAGCTTACAGCTGTCAAATGACCATCTGGAGCACCTGGCAGCACAGAGGCATTTACAGTACGGATTAGCCAAGCAGTTTCAGGGGCACAGGGAGACATAGAGAAAGAAAGAGGCAGGATTTCTACGGAAAACAGAAATGAAAGACAGAAGCAGATTTTCAGAGGTGATACAGCATAACAGTGGCCTTGTGAAAGGCTCACTTCCCCCCTCCTATCTCCACCCACAGCTGGGAAAGCTTAAGGCTGGCTCCCCGCTGGCAGTCAGGGCAGACAAATAATTCAATTGCCAGACTAAGAGGAGAACACCTGCCTGGGCTCTCCCCCATTGCAGCACCTGCTCCAACTGCAATTTCAAAGTGTCTTCTGACTATAGAAGCAGCCAAGGACAACCCTTGATAGAATTAAGTGGCCTGTCCCTCCCCACCAACCCAGGGAGCTCTGGGAGACGAAGCAGCCCAGATGCCCAGGGAGATGATGACACCAGGAGCCCTGGGGCTTAGAGTGCAGTACTGCAGGCAAATTCTGTCCACAATCTAGAGTTTGATCCTGACAGACTCAAGGTTGACTCGGCCTTCCATCGGGTAAAATGAGCATTGTTGGAGGCCATATGCTGACTCTGCAAACTGCTTAGAGATGGTTGTAAAGGACTCTGAAGCAACTTATAAATCTAAGTGCTATTGCTATAAAATAACAGTCTTTAGCCTTGGCAGTTTTAAGACTTGTGGACTTCAACTCTCAGCCAGCCAATTGAATTCTGGGAGTTGAAGTCCACCAATCTTAAATTGCAGGGTTAGAGACCCCTGGCCTAAAACAAAGAACGAATGCAAACCATAGGTAAGATCTCAAAGCTGAATTTGCATCATGGCAAGTAAGCATGATGAAGCAAGTCAATTCTCTGGTGGCTACCTGGCTGCTTTGAAGACAAGACAGAAAGCCCTGCTAGGAGCATCCGTGGGGCATCTGGGAGATCAAATCCCTTGCATCTGCTCACAGCTGGAGGACAGCTGGGCAGCCCCTGCTGAGAGGATGAGGCGTCCATCTTGCCTAGTTATCCGAGATCAGTTGGAACCAAGGGATCCTGAGGAACTGGACAGGGTAGTCCAAGCCATTAGTGGAGCCACCTAGGAACCTGATACCTGGCCAGTGAAAGCTTGCAGGGGAGGCAACAGGAAGCTGATCTGCACGGTTCCTGGGAGTCCTCCCTTTTCAGCTAAGCTTGTTTGCAAGGTGCTTGGCCAGCAGCTGGAGAATCCTGAAAGATCTGATCTAACCTAGTTGTGATTTAAGACATAGGCTTTGGACAAATTCCCTGTGGTGGGATGAGAATGGGGTAAGGAGCATCTTGGTCTTGCAATGCATCTTGGTAGTTGTCCCAAAGGTGCTTTTCCTTTGGTTTTTTCCCCCCTTGAAAATGTTTGGTTTCTCATCTAAGAAGCTTCTTCAGTTCTGAAGTTCAAACATTTTCAAGGAGAAAACACCAAGAAAGCCCAGTTGCCTTTTGGAAAAGCACCTCTGGGATAACCAGAACCTCTCTAGACATCCTGGGGGCTTTCAATGCCACTAACCAGCCTATCCTTCTAGACTGGATCTGTTGGCTGGGATTGGAGAGGCATCGTTTTACAAGGGTCCTCCTTTTGGGTGGGTTTCAAGCCGTGAGGGCAAAGAGCCAAGTCTATGGGAACTTCAATATGGAGTTGCACAATCCTCACCCATTAATATCTTCATGGAGCTATGGAAGATATTAGCGGGCATCCAACAAGGTATCACTAATGTACAGGTGACACTTGTTATAGACTCTGCCTGAACCGAAGACGCAGGAGTCCCGATTCAGTGTCTGGATGGGGAAAATGGGCATAGCTTGAATCATAGTAAGTTGCAGTGTCAAAATCCTACAGCAAGTCCTGATTTAACTGACGAGGTCACGCAGCACCCCGTGGAGTTTGCTGGCAGTTTAGGAGAGCTGCACCTGGCATAGTGCAGTTGGAAGTCATGGCCAGGATGGTCTTTGCACAAATGCATCTTGTGCGCCATCTGTGGCTCAGAAAACTTTGCAGCCAGTCATTCAACCAATCATCACCTAATGGCCAACTTTACATGGGGCTGCTTTGAAGATCCCGAGAGTGACCTTTGAAGCAAGTGATCTTTTAAGAAATAGGTCTCCGTATTTAGACTGATGTGTGAAGGAGGCAACGGCCTTCACATGTCCCGATTCCAAACCATTTAGAGCTCTGAAAGTCACCCTCAGTATTCTGTTCTCCGCTGCCCAGCTTCTGTTATCAAATTTCCTATTCCATATTAGTTTCTGAATAATCTTCAACAGCAGCTCAGTGAAGAATTCATGGCCATCAGAGAGAGACACGATGTGCCATTTTAGCCCACTTCTCAAGGTGGAGCTGGCCCACCAAAGATTCTATGAAGAGTCCCCTAAATCAGTGTTTCTCAACCTTGGCAACTTGAAGATGTCCGGACTTCAACTCTCAGAATTCCCCAGCCAGAGAATGCTGGGAGTTGAAGTCCGGACATCTTCAAGTTGCCAAGGTTGAGAAACACTGCCCTAAATGACACGCCAGGCCTTTCAGAGGGAAAGCCTCTCACTCCAGAGCAGTCAGGCCTCAACTTCTGACTCATCAGCTCTACTGATCAAGCTGGGTCAGGATTCCACTTAGCTGGTGCCCCTCTCACTGTTCTCTCTCTGTTCTCCAACTCTGACAACTTTAAGAGCCCCCCCCCCCCCCCCAGCATGCTTGCTGCCAAATTGTGGGAAATGAAGTCCCCGCATTTTAAAACTCCGGGGGCTTGAGAAACACTGCTCTGGCCCATGGCTCCGAACCTTACCAGCTTCCATGAGATGCCACTGAGGAGAGCTATAGAAATGGGTGGCAGCTGCTGACTGATGAAACTCCACAGATATTGAATCACCTTCCCCAGCAGTTTCAAAAGAAAGCTGAACAAGCTTTGTGTCTGTCGCAGAACAGAATTCTGGAGCTTTTGGCAAGCTCCTGGCCACGGGCTAGGTAGACATCCCTTAGTTCTATTTACTGAGATTTGTTTTCAGGACGGTCCGGAACCACCTAACCTTTCCAAAGAATGATGGCCAATTGGTATGCAAACCTTCTGAGCCATCCAACCGAACCGCAACAAATACACTTCAATCCCTTTCCCAGCCTAGACCCTTTGCTAAGTTGGGGAAAACGGTCTTAATCTCATGCAGACACAGATGACTGGAGCTACTTTAAAAAAGTAAATTTCACAATAAGTGTGTGTGTGAGAGAGAGAGGAGAGAGAGAGAGACAGAGAGAGAGAGAGAGAGAGAGAGAGAGAGAGAGAGAGAGTCATTCAACCAAGAGATCAAAAAGCAACGTTGGTGAAAGATACCTTCCTCCTATTATTTTTTAATTGCAGTGATTTACCTAAGCAACTAGGAATAATTTCTGTTTAAAAACTGAAATAAAACTAAAATGGATCTCGGCTTACTCTGGTGTCGAGACAACTCCTCTTAACAAATGCCTTATGCCACTTACCTTAAATAGAAGAGAACCTGTTCAAACGAGGCATTTACAATTTCCACTGTATGCTTGGCTAGTCCTTTTCTAGCAACTTTCACAAGCCAAGATGGACAGGAGTCCAAGCAGCTTGCCACTGGCCACCTTCCCCTAATCACCCACATCTTCAAGTCCCACCCTCTGCTAATTCAAGCCAAGGAACCCCACTTCGGTGGAAGAGGATGCAGGTAGCCCAGGGCTGAAGTGTGGAGGAGGGAGTCTTGGCGCTCTGGAGGAAGCTCGGTGTAAGTGAGTGGGGGCCAAAGTGCAGCACCAAGGGCTCCCCCAAAGGACCACCACCCCCGAGGTCAGAGCCTCTTCTCTTTCTAAGGGCCCAAAGCAACCATACAGCCCACGGGGCAGGGAAGGCGAAGCCAGGAGGGTCTCCCTCGCTCGTCTCATCACCGGCTGCCCTGAGCCCATCCTCCCAACCCCCCCCACCCGCCGTGATTGAGCAGCCCGTGGGATTCTGGGAGTTGAAGTCCCTTCTCTGGCCGGGGGAGGCGGTGGGGGGGGGGAGAAGGAAGGGGCCTTTTCCAAAAGGCAGCTGGGCTTCCCTGGAAACCTTTCGCTCCCCCCGGTTCTAGAAGCCCCTTAGCGGAGAAGCGAAACGTCTCCAAGGGAAGGAAGCCAGAAATCCCCGGCCTCCTCCGCCCGAGGGATGCCGGGGGCAGAACAACAAGGGAGCCCCCGTCCAATTCAACCCAACGGCCTCCCACGTTCACACGGCTTCCTTCAGGCGGCTCCACAATGGAGCCGCTTTCGGGGTTCGGAGGCCACGCCGGGTGCCCGCCAGGCCAGCGAGGCCTCTGGAGGGACGCCGGGCGGCCAGGCCGAGAGGGAAGGAGGGAGAAAGGAGGCCGCGCCCGAGCTCCCGGGGCCCCCAAGGGCCTTTCGCGGGAGGGGGGTCACCAGCGGCCCTCCGGCTCCCCCAGCGGGGCGGGTCTCCCGGCCACCGCCTGCCAGGCCCCGCCGAGCCGTTTCGGAGGAGCCCCGCGGGCGGCAGACAAAGGCAGCGCGGCGCTTCGCCCAGACGGGCCCCGCCGCCCCTCTCGTTCCCTAGGCCGGCCAGGGAGATCCGCGCGGCCCCAGGGGGCCACCAGGGCCGCGGGGCCAACGTCGCCGCCCGGCCGGACGCGGCTCTCCCTGAGGGACGGAGCGAGGGAGGGAGCCGTTCGGGTGAGACGGGGGTCGGGGCAAGGCACTCACTCGGGTCCCGAGGCCATGGCGGCGATGTGGGCTGGCGCGGTGGCGGCGAGGGTCGCTTCGGCTCTGCCTGCTCCGCGCTGGGTTTTTCCCCTCAGCGATCAGCGCCGACTCATCGGGGGTGACGCTCCGCCCGGCGCGCTAGGCCGCACTCTGCCTAGCAACAGGTGGCGCGGTGACCAATCCGAAAAATAGAGGCGGCCGCGCGCGGCCAATCACAGCCCCGAGCCGGAACGGCTTCCCGCCCTCCCTTAATGAGGAAGCGAGCTCCTCCGGGAAGGCAGAACCACCCGGCGACCGGGCGGGCCAATCGGAAAAATAGGCTGACGTCCGAGGCGGAGCTTGGGAGAATTCAGGCGAAAGGCCAATTCGAAGGCCCTTTCGGGCTAGCGGCGCAACGGTGATTGGGCTTACGTCGAAAGAACTCGCGGCGAATCGAAAAACGGAGATGTTGATTGGCACCACGGTAGTCCTATTGAAATAAGCCTCGGTGCCTGAGCTGGGCCGTAGACGACCCCGGAAGTAGTCTGCCGGCGTGGCCGCCCTGGGCCGCATGACGTTGGGGATTTGAGGACCTGTTTCTGAGCATGTGGCGCTGGGAGGATGGGCCTTGTAGTCGCCAGCCTCTGAGGGCGGCGGAAGGGCCGGGCTGCGCGGGGAGGGCCCGCCGTGGGGATCGCCGTCGCGGGTGCGCCGAGGGGAGGAGGCTGGCAGGGCGGCGGCCTTCACCCACCTGGAGCCAGGCGGCGTCTTTCGGCTCCTTCTGCCCACGTTGTGGCTTCCTGACCTGAATGAAACTTCCTCGTGAGGACAACGAGCCGCTAATGCAGTGTTTCTCAACCTTGGCAACTTGAAGATGTCCGGACTTCAACTCCCAGAAGTCCCCAGTCAGGGTGTGCCGGCTGGGGGAATCCTGGGGTTTGAGTCCGGCGATC